AAGGGTTCCCCTTTCTCCACATCCTCGACAACATCTGTTGTTTACTGAGTTGTTAATTTTAGCCATTCTGACCAGTGTGAGGTAGTATCTCATTGTGGTTTTGATTTGTATTTCCCTGATGATATGTGATGTTGAGCATTTTTTCCTGTGTCTGTTTGCCATCTGGGTATCTTCTTGGGAAAAATATCTGTTCATGTGTTTTGCCCATTTCTTCATTGGATTATTTGTTTTTTTGGGTGTTGAGTTTGGTAAGTTCTTTATAGATTTTGAATACTAACCCTTTATCAGATATGTCATTTGCAAATATCTTCTCCCAGTCCATCAGTTGCCTTTTAGTTTTGTTGATTGCTTCCTTTGCTGTGCAGAAGCTTTTTATCTTGCTGTGGTCCCAGTAGTTCATTTTTGCTTTTATTTCCCTTGCCTCTGGAGACATGTCAAGTAAGAAGTTGCTGTGGCCAAGGTCAAAGAGGTTGCTGCTTGTTTTCTCCTGTAGGATTTTGATGGTTTCCTGTCTCACATTTAGGTCTTTCATCCATTTTGCATTTATTTTTGTGTATGGTGTAAAAAAGTGGTCCAGTTTTATTCTTCTGCATGTTGCTGTCCAGTTCTCCCAGCACCATTTGCTAAAGAGAGTCTTTTTTTCCATTGGATACTCTTTCCTGCTTTGTCAAAGATCAGTTGGCTATATATCTGTGGGTCCATTTCTGGGTTCTCTATTCTATTCCAATGATCTATGTATCTGTTTTTGTGCCAATACCATACTGTCTTGATGATTACAGCTTTGTATACAGGTTAAAGTCTGGGGTTGTGAGCTTCCAGCTTTGGTTTTCTTTTTCAACATTACTTTGGCCATTTGGGGTCTTTTGTGGTTCCATACAAATTTTAGGATTGTTTGTTCTAGCTCTGTGAAGAATGCTAGTGCTATTTTGATAGGGATTGCATTGAATGTGTAGATCGCTTTGGGTAGTATCAACATTTTAACAATATTTGTTCTTCCAATCCATGAGCATGGAATATTTTTCCATTTCTTTGTGTATAGTTTTCAGTGTACAGATCTTTTACCTCTTTGGTTAGGTTTATTCCTAGGTATTTTGTGGGTTTTAGTGCAATTGTAAATGAGATCGATTCCTTGACTTCTCTTTCTATTGCTTCATTATTGGTGTATAGAAATGCAACCGATTTGCATTGATTTTATATCCTGTACATTGATTTTATATCCTGTAATTTTGCTGAATTCATGTATCAGCTCTAGCAGTTTTTTGGTGGAGTCTTTTGGGTTTTCCATGTAGAGTATCATGTCATCTGCAAAAAGTGAAAGTTGACTTCTTCCTTGCCAATTTGGATGACTTTTATTTCATTTTATTATATGATTGCTGAGGCTAGGACTTCCAACACTGTTTTAAACAACAGGGGGTGAGAGTGGACATCCCTGTCATGTTCCTGATCTCAGGGGGAAAGCTCTCAGTTTTCCCCCATTGAGGATGCTAATTAGCTGTGGGCCTTTCATACATGGCTTCTATGATGTTAACGTATGTTCCTTCTATCCCGACTTTCTTGAGGGTTTTTATTAAGAAAGGATGCTGTATTTTGTCAAATGTTTTTTCTGCATCTATTGACAGGATCATATGGTTTTTATCCTTTCTTCTGTTAATGTGATGTATCACATTGATTGATTTGTAAATATTGAACCAGCCCTGCAGCTCAGGAATGAATCCCACTTGATCATGGTGAATAATTCTTTTAATGTACTGTTGAATTTGATTTGCTAGTATCTTGTTGAGAATTTTTACATCCATATTCATCAGGGATATTGGCCTATAATTCTCCTTTTTAGTGGGGTCTTTGGTTTGGGGATCAAGGAAAGTTGGCTTCATGGAATGAGTCTGGAAGCTTTCCTTCCATTTCTATTTTTTGGAACAGTTTGAGAAAAATAGGTATTAACTCTGCTTTAAATGTCTGGTAGAATTCCCCTGGGAAGCCATCTGGCCCAGGACTCTTATTTATTGGGAGATTTTTGGTAACCGATTCAATTTCTTTGGTTATGGGTCTGTTCAAATTTTCTATTTCTTCCCATTTGAGTTTTGGTAGGTGCGGGTGATTGGTCCATTTCTTTCAGATTATCCAGTTTGTTGGCATACGATTTTTCATAGTATTCTTTAATAATTGTTTGTATTTCTGTGGTGTTGGTTATGATTTCTCCTCTTTCATTTATGATTTTATCTATTTGGGTCCTCTTCTTTTTGAGAAGTCTGGCTAAGGGTTTATTAATTTTGTTTATTCTTTCAAAAAAACAGCTCTTAGATTTATTGATCTGTTCTACTGTTTTTTTAGGATTCTATATTTTTGATTTCTGCCTTAATATTTATTATTTCCCTTCTTCTGCGGGCTTTGGGGTTTATTTGCTGCTGCTTTTCTAGCTTCTTTAGGTGTAAGGTTAGGTTTGTATTTGGGATCTTTCTTGCGTCTTGAGACAGGCCTGAATTGCGATATGTTTTCCTGTTAGGACTGTTTTTGCTGCATCCCAAAGGGTTTGGACTGTGATGTTTTCATTTTCATTTGTTCCATGTATTTAAAAAAATTTTTTAATGTTTATTTATTTTTAAGAGAGAGATAGAGAGAGAGACAGAATGCGAGAGGGGGAGGGGCAGAGAGAGAGGGAGAAACAGAATCTGCAGCAGGCTCCAGGCTCTGAGCTGGAGTCTGACATGGGGCTGGAACTCTCAGACCATGAGATCATGACCTGAGCTGAAGTTGGATGCTTAACCGACTGAGCCACCCAGGCACCCCTGCTTCCATGTATTTTTAAATTTCTTCTTTAGGGGCGCCTGGGTGGCTCAGTCGGTTGAGCGTCTGACTTCAGCTCAGGTCACAATCTCGCGGTCCGTGAGTTGGATCCCCGCGTCGGGCTCTGGGCTGATGGCTCAGAGCCTGGAGCTTGCTTCCGATTCTGTGTCTCCCTCTCTCTCTGCCCCTCCACCATTCATGCTTTGTCTCTCTCTGTCTCAAAAATAAATAAAAGTTAAAAAAAAAATTAAATTTCTTCTTTAATTCCCTGGTTAACTCATTCATTGTTTAGTAGAATGTTCTTTAACCTCCATGTATTTGGGGGCTTTCCAAATTTTTTCTTGCGGTTGATTTCAAGTTTCATAGCATTGTGATCTAAAAATATGCATGGTATGATCTCAGTCTTTTTGTACTTGTTGAGGGCTGTTTTGTGACTAGTATGTGATCTCTTTTGGAGAATGTTCCATGTGCACTCGAGAAGAATGTGTATTCTGCTGCTTTAGGATGAAAAGTTCTACATATATCTGTTATGTCCATTTGGCCCAATGTGTCATTCAGAGCCATTGTTTCCTTATTGATTTTCTCTAGATGATCTGTCCATTGTTGTAAGTGGAATATTAAAATCACCCACAGTGATGGGCATTGAGGAGGGCACTTGTTGGGATGAACACTGGGTGTTGTATGGAAACCAATTTGACAGTAAATTATATTAAAAAATAAAATTAAATTAAAATCACCCATAATTATGGTATTATTATCAATAAGTTTGTTTATGTTTGTGATTAATTGATTTATATAGTTGGGTGCTTCACATTGGGGGTATAAACATTTACAGTTGTTAGCTCTTCTTGATGGATAGACCCCTTAATTATGATATAATGCCCTTCTTCATTTCTTGTTACAGTCTTTCTTTTAAAATCTAGTTTGGGGCGCCTGGGTGGCGCAGTCGGTTAGGCGTCCGACTTCAGCCAGGTCACGATCTCGCGGTCCGGGAGTTCGAGCCCCGCGTCAGGCTCTGGGCTGATGGCTCAGAGCCTGGAGCCTGTTTCCGATTCTGTGTCTCCCTCTCTCTCTGCCCTTCCCCCGTTCATGCTCTGTCTCTCTCTGTCCCCAAAATAAATAAACGTTGAAAAAAAAATTAAAAAAAAAAATAAATAAAATCTAGTTTGCCTGATATAAGTATGGCTACTCCAGCTTTCTTTTGACTTCCAGTAGCATGATAGATGGTTCTCCATCCCCTCGCTTTCAATCTGAAGGTGTCCTGTGGTCTAAAATGAGTCTCTTGGTGCATTTAGTCCATTTAAATTCAGAGTGATTATTAAAGATATGAATTTAGTGCCATTGTGTTATCTGTAGATTTCATGTTTGTGGTGATATCTCTGGTCCTTTGTAGTCTTTGCTGCTTTCCACTCACAGAGTCCCCCTTAGGATCTCCTGCAGGGCTGGTTTAGTGGTTATGAACTCCTTTAGGTTCTGTTTATCTGGGAGAGCCTTTATCTCTTCTTCTTCTATTCTGAATGACAACCTTGCTGGATAAAGATTCTTGGCTGCATATTTTCCTATTCAGCACATTGAATATTTCCTGCCACTCCTTTCTGGCCTGCCCAGTTTCAGTGGACAGGTCTGCTACTACCCTTATGTGTCTTCCCTTGTAGGTTAAGGACCATTTGTCCCTAGCTGCTTTCATAATTCTCTCTTTATCTTTGTGTTTTGCCAGTTTAACTGTGATATGCCATGGTGTTGACCTGTTTTTGTTGATTTTGAGGGGAGTTCTCTGTGCCTCTTGGACTTGGATGCCTATTTCCTTCCCCTCGCTCTTCTTCTTCTAGAACTCCTAAGATACAGATATTGTTTCATTTTATGCAATCCCTTAGCTCTCTAATTCTTCCCTCGTGATCTAGTAATATCATTTCCCTCTTTTTTTTTCCAGCTTCATCATTTTCCATAATTTTATTTTCTATTTTACCTATTCTCCTCTGTTTCTTCCATCCTTGCTGTCACTGTATCTAGTTTATTTTGCATGTCATTTATAGCATTTCTTAATTCATTGTAACTAGTTCTTAGGTCTTTTATCTCTGCATCAAGAGATTCTCTGCTGTCTTCTATGCTTTTTTTTAAAAGCCCAGCTATTAGTCTTATGACTGTTATTCTAAATTCTTGTTCAGATATATTGTTTATATCTGTTTTGAGCAATTCTCTGGCTGTGATTTCTTCCTTAATTTCTTTTGGGGAAAATTCTTCTGTTTTGTCATTTTGGTTAAGTATCTGTCTTTGGCGTGTTTTAATAGCTTGTTATATGACCTGCACCTGTGAGTACTAGGATATTAAAAAGGGGTCATACACTGTCCAGGGCCTGGCACTTCAGAAAGTGTCCTGCACCTCGATCCTGCAAAGCTGTCTCCCTCTAGCTGTGGAGATCCTTTTGCTACTCTGCAGATTGCATGCACTCTGCTGTTGCATTTTGGTTGCTCTATCCCACTGGTCAGTCCTCTACAAAGCTCTTCCTTGCTTGCAGTGGTGGAATGTTTGGGCCTTCAACCAGGTGTGCTGTGATTTGTTTGTTGAAATAACCCTGGAAAAAAAAGGAAAAGGTGGGGGAAGACTGATCCCATAAAAAGAGAAAAATGAAAGGGTAGAAAAGGAGACCAAATAGAGAATCAAAAACTATAAAGCTAAATCCAGAGAAAGAGAAAGGAAAATAAAGATAAAGAGATAGAAAAGGCGTAGGGAAGTCGGGCCTGTTTTTTGTGGCGCCTCAGAGGCGGCAGGCTGCTTCAGGATGAAACTGAACATCTCTTTCCCAGCTACTGGCTGCCAGAAACTCATTGAAGTGGATGACGAATGGAAACTTTGTACCATTTTTGAGAAGCTGAATGGCCACAGAAGTTGCTGCTGATGAACAAGGTGAAGAATGGAAGGGTTACCTGGTCTGAATCGGTGGTGGCAGTGACACACAAGGCTTCCCCATGAAGAAGGTGTCTTGACCCATGGCCATGTCTGCGTGCTGCTGAGTAAGGGTCATTCCTGCTACTGACTAAGGAGGACGGGAGAAAGAAAGTGCAAATCTGTTCAGGGTTGCATTGTGGTTGCCAATCTCAGTGTTCTCAACCGGGTCTTCGTGAAGAAAGGGAAGAAGGGTATTTCTGGACTCACTGATACTACTGTGCCTCATCACCTGGGGCCCAAAAGAGCTAGCAAAATCTGCAAACTTTACAGTCTCTCAAAGGAAGATGATGTCCACCAGTCTGTTGTGAGAAAGCCCCTTAACAGAGAAGGTAAGAAACCTAGGACCAAAGCACCCAAGATTCAGCATCTTGTTACTCCCTGTGTCCTTCAACACAAATGTTGGTGTACCGCCTGGAAGAAGCAGTGCAGTAAAAAAAAATAAGCAAGAGGCTGTAGAATATGCCAGACTGGTGGCCAACAGAGTGAAGGAGGCCAAAGAAAAATGCCAGGAAAGATTATCAAGAGACAGAAGCTGTCTCCTCTGAGAGCTTCTACCTGTAAGTCT